TCTATTTGCTCTCTTGAGAATGTCCTTTGAAGCACAAATTTTTTCGTTTTGACGAAATCCAATTGGTCTCTTTTCTCTTTGTTTCTTGTGCTTTTCACGTTATATGTAAGAAACCATCGCCAAATCCCAGGTTATGAAAATTGCTCAAAGTTTTCTTCTAAGGGTTTTATAATTTTACCTTGTGTGTTTATAAAACTTGAATATGTGGGTCTTTCACCCATTTTAATTTAATTTGTATTTATAGTGTGAGGTAAGGGTCCAACTTTACTGTTTTGCAAACTGATACTCGGTTGTCCCAGGACCATGTGTTGAAGAGACTGTTCTTCCCTCACTGAGTGTTTTTGGCGACTTTGTCAAAAACCGATTAGCCATAGATGCATAGGTTCTAAATTCCCAATTCTGTTCTAGTCCACTGATCTTTATGTGAAAGACAATTTTTAGACAGCTTGGGTAATTTAATTATAGACTGGAAATTGGGTAATATTGAAGAATTATTGATACTGTTTGCAACAATAATGTGGTTATGAAACAAATTTTCCTTACCTTTTATATTTAGGGAAGTATTTAAGCATGGAATAAAATATAAAGATCTAGCTTTAAAAATGACAGTCAAACTTTTCTTAGAAGATAAACAAGGGTAGATGAACAAGTACAGCAAAATATGGAAAATTCTTTAACTTGGAGATGAGTAAATGTGTGTTCATTATCCTATAATCTCGCCATCTGTGCACATTTGAAAACCTGGATAACAAAAGTTGAATTAAATCGTCTTGGTGGAAGGCCTTGGGCTTACCCACTAACAGCTAAATTTAAATTTGAATTTTGGAATAAAGTCAGAAGCTGAGAGACTTGGGGAAGGTCTTTTATTGCTGTGTAACTCCCCCTCCTGCTGTCCTCCAGTCATTGTATAGACTGAACTTGCATTTTTTTCCAGCAAGACCTAGTAATCAACTCTCATGGAATTCACCAAAAATTGAAAAAGACTGGAAATGATATCTGGGTTATTTTTGCCGTTAAAATGATTTTCATTTTCTCCTGAATGATAATCTGCTGTACTTGCAACATGTTTTACTTAGTTATTTTTACTTTTTATTTATTATTTATTTTTAACTGAGTCATGCTGAGGCATCCCATCAGGGATGACCACCATGGTGTACCCACCACCAACTCACCCATATTCCACCTCCACAGACCATTGTGCTTCCTCCCCTCTTGATTCTTTCCACTCCCCCACACCCACCCTTGCTGCTTCAGTTCTGTACTCGGCTGTCAAAGGTTAGTTTTTCACCTGGTCTTTATCTGACTATTAATTGTGTTACTTTATATTTCACGGATTAGTATTTATTTTTCTCCCTCTGACTTGTTTCACTTAACATTATCCTTTCAAGCTGCATCCATGTGGACATAAATGGCATGAGTTTATCTTTTTTGATCGCTGAGTAGTATTCCACTGTGTATACATACACACCACATCTTCGGGATCCAGTCCTCTGTTCTGGTAACATATTTAATTACACCCCTGAACATAATTCCTCTGAACAGACTCAATGAGATCATGTTACAGGAGACTCTCAGGAAAACTTCTGAAATGCCCACACACATGATGAACCCACATATATTCTATCATCAAACCATGTAGTCTTCCCATCAGACAGGTGATGCTGCAACTATGACTCCTGCTCTCAAACAAGATTCAACGAACTGTGTGCCTTTTCCTAAAAACTCTGTGCCTTTCCTAAAAGCCTGTCCATGTGAAACCAGCCTGGAGAAATAGACAATACCCATCAGTTCTCTGATGAAAATTTACTTCAAACTGTGCTTTATCCAAGGTGCTATGTTAAAAGTTCCCCTTGAGATCTGAATTTCTGTTTGAAAATTATGCTTTATATTTACATTTATAAATATATGCTTAGATGTATGAATATAGATAACCTTCCATATATTTAAAACATTTTGGACACACATATTCATAAATTATAAAACCATATATCTTACATGTCTTGATACATAAATATTTACATAAGAGAGAACACTTGTTAGTGGTAGGTATAAAGTCACATATGGCTTGGTATAGCTCTAAATCCCTTTGCGTGACCCATGAACAGGTTGAAGCCAATATGAGTTCAGGAGGTGGCAGGGCCCCACCCTGGGGTGGGGTTGGGTGGTGCCTGGGTGAGGCCTGCAGCTGTAAGGGGCGAGGTTCAGCCTCTCAGGCCTGGTGGCATCTGCATCTCCCTGCCATCGGAGAACCACAGCCAGATTTGCCAAGAACGGAGCCATGCATATTTTGACAGGCTAAACAGTAGTGTTATTTATTTTTAGGAAGACCATTATTTCATTTTCCCATCGGTGGCTGAAAAGTCACCCATTTACAAAGTACCCGCTGAGCAAGTGGGCACCTCTGTGCCGCCTTCTCCCCGCCCTTAGTCTGCGACCACCGGTCCATGTGAATGAGAGTTCTCAGTGTTGGCCTCACTGAGGAAGGTTTAGTTCTCACCCCTCTCCCAGGCTAACGTGGGCCAGACCTGTTCTGGACTTAGGAGTGGCTTGCTGAGCTGAGCGTTGGTGCTGGAGAAGCCACTGGCTTAGATCCAAGCAAACATGAAAGGCACAGCAAGCTTGGTGCTGGATGGTCTGTGAAGTTAGAGGCCACATTCCTCACCCCCTTTTCCAGGCAAGCTTCCCATCCCAGCTTGGAATCACCTTCTCGGAAGCCCTCCCTGATTCCCCAGACAGGACTCAGGGGCCCACTTTCTGTGTGTTTTGCACACTGTGAGGTCATTTCCATTTCCAAGGCGGCCCTTGCACCACAGCTCCTCCAGCCCTCCTTCCTTTAGCACAGACCTAATAGGATTCTGAACTCAGTTCTGGAAAACTTGAATGGAGAACCACCACATTCCAGGTACACTCAATGTGACTGAGGCTAAATGGTTAAATTGCTTTCAGAATTTAAATCACAAAAGTGGGGGAAAAAAGGTATCTAAACTTTCCTCTGACATTTGTTTTTCACAAGGACAGCAGTGCTGAGCTGAGTCCCCAGGCAGCTGGAGCCAGGAGACCGGAAATGCAGAGAAGAGGGGCCACCCAGAGGCAAAGGGCCAACAGAGCCCCCAAACCCAGGTATCTGAAGAAAATCTCCTCATACTGCTCCTTGTTTAAACGGCCCTATAACTACCCCTTGAACCTGACCAAGTCTCCACATGTCTTTGCCTCAGCCCACTTCTTAAGCCAATAAAATTGAACTCCTTTGTTGTTAATCCTGATCCCCAAAATCCTATAGAACCTCATCCCCTTTCTTAGTTAGGGAAGCAGTTTGAGTTTATCTCCTGTGTCCTTGCCAACTGATTTGCAGTTAATCTTCTTGTTGCAAACCCCAGTGCCATGGTATCCGGCCCACGCGTACCCAGTTCCGTGATATCAGTAACCTGCATGACAGCTACCCAGCAAAGTCTATGGCATTGAGGACCTTCTAGCAAGAAATGAAAGGCTTTAATTTTGAACCTCTGGGAAGCTCTATTCTAGTCACCCCTGGAATGTGCTGGGGAGAAAAACATTAATGACATCACCCAGAAAATGTCTCCTTTTTTGAGAGGTGAAGGACAAAATGTCCAAGCCCAGGGAAAAGCGGGAAGTGAGACATCTGGAAAGAGTTGTCCATATAGACCAGGACAGAGGCAGCTTGCAAAGGTGCAAAGGTCGAAGGAAATGAGCCAACCCTAAATGAAGCCATTTGGAAGCCAGTTTCATTGCAAAATTGCCCTAACTGCATGCGCTTGTTACCTCATGCTGCAGCGCGCAATGTTTTGTTTCATTTCAGGGTGAATAGAGTACTACAGTATGTCTAGAACTAATGTTTTCTATAAGACTTCCTGTCTTCCTCAGAGACCCCACTTCTGACTTTGCCCTGGGGAGCCCAGAAATCTTGTCCCCCCACCTCTGCAAATACAGGAAAACTAAGCAAATTAGGTTTGGATGGCCCGTGAGCTAAGAATGCTTTTAACATTTTTAAAGAGCGGTGAACAAGCAAATAAAAAAGATTATGCAACAGTAAACAAGCAAATACAAAATAATTATGAATAACTAAATATAGGGCCTCAAGGTGGCACTGGGGTTAAAATCTCTGTGCTATCAAGCTATCACCAGCCACTGGAGCCTGAGTTCCATCCCTGGCCAGGGAGCTGACCCACATGTGATGCTACAGACCTCTCCTGTCTCGACCGCTGCTCCCCTCAGCATTGATTTCAGTGGATCTGCCTGTTCTGCTCCCCACTCCTTCTGGTGAATCCTTTCACCCCTCCACCCACAACTTTGGCCTCCATCCCAGTTCTTGTATACATAAGTAAAAAAAAATTTTTAAATGATAACAACTAAATGTATGTTTTACCAGTAATCTTGCTCCTAGGATCCTAGCCTATTGATGAAGAGCAAAAATATAGAAAGGCAAAGAGAGTTTTTAAGAATGTTTAATAAGTCTTGCTTATAGAAGGAAGAAGTGGAAAAATATAACTATCTGAATGTTAGTTAGTTGAATAAACTAAGTGCATGCAGGCCAAGTCATTTTATGCAGTGATCAAAAAGAATGTAGCAGATTTTAAGGCTGTGAAGATGGCCATACCTTATCGACAAGTTAAAAAAGCAAAGTAAAGAGCGATATAGCCTTCTGAGACTAGATTGTGTTTTAATGAGGTGACACTTGACATTAACCATATCAGACACCTTTCAAAATAACTGGGAAAAAAGATCAAAACTGCTATGAACATTTTTCCAGAAGCATGACCTGGATTAGTAAAAAGGAAAGTTTCTTACTGAGTTTTTCAGTACTTTTTCCAAAAACATTACTTTAAATTGCACATGGGAGTTATAAACAATGACACCAGTTGTCTATCCTGACATACAATGAAAATATTTGACAAAATGATCCCTTTGATCAGAAAGGCATGCCAAACGCAACACGTGTGAACAAGAAGTCACCATCCAGCAAGGACCCGGGTTGTTTTAAGTCATGGCCAGATTGTTCTTGATAGGCTGAAGGACAGGTGACTTACCTTAGACAGTGGTTTTAGCTGGTGGCAGTTGATGCCTCCAATGAAGACCATGTTTGGCATCACGGGTCTTGGATATTCCAAAACAAAGTCAGCTCGAATCAGCCAGATGGATACATGGCTGTAGAGATCGTAGGGCGTGACGGGTATTTGCAGGATCTCAGAGGCAACCTCTAAAGCAGTTTTGAGAAAATAGGGGCAAAATATATGTTCCTGCATGTGCAAGTAATGATTCTGCATTCTCTCCCAGAAAGTCATGACATCTGAGAATAACGAGAATGTCCTAGGGACGTAAGAAAGAGGGTTGGGACTCTGTGTCCCTTCGTCCGTATAATGGCAAAAAGCTCTCCTGGTGAAGATCACAGAAGGGACTGACAGGTACTTGGCTACAATTAAGCCACACATGTCAAAAGGATCTAGAAACACAGCATCAAAAGTATTCTCTTCTAAGAATTTCACTAATTTTTTGTCCTTAAACAAACCCCTACATTGTGAAAAAAAGTATTCAAAAATAGAGCTGCGAGCTTTCAACATAGCAAATAAAGCATTTCCTCTATCTTCCCACTGATCATCCGTAAAAATCTTCAATTCTTTGTTCACCTCCTCCGCTGTGTGACCTGTGGCATAAATCTTCAATGTAAGGTTGAGGTGGCTGTCCACATGCAAATTCATCTCTGGCGAGACCATGACCAGCTCATGTCCTCTGTGGAGGAGCTCCTTCACAACCTCTCGCATGGTGAACCAGTGGCTCCCGCCCATGGGCACCACCAGCAGCTTGCCTGCCTCTGCAAAGCCGGATGTCAGCAGGAGAGACACACAGAGTGGCAGGAAACCAGTCAAAATCGCAGGAGCCATCATATAACTGCAGCCCAGAGCGATCCAAGGATTCTAACCTTGTGTAACAGTTGGTGGCAGGACAGGTATAAAACCTGCCCTAGGAGAGGGCGTGTTTTCATGCATTCAAAAGAAAGATTAACTCGTGGCCAATGATTGGCTCACAAGAACGGTAGCTACTGAGTAGTGTATTCACAGGCAACTGTTTGTTGGTGGCAGATAACAGTAACTTTTGCTCTTTGGCTTAGATTCCGTGAATTGTACTGCAATACCCATTTAGAAACCTAATTGTTAAGCAATGTTTTTAGACCTTGAGGACTCAGAAAGATTAAAAAAGTTTTTTTCTTTTTTTTTTATTTATATTATTTGATACATTTATTACATAAATGCATTAATTAATCTAACAGACCACTGCGCTGAGAGTTCTTCTTTTTGGATAGTTTCAAGAGTTTCTTTTCTAAAATTTTTCTTTTATTTTTTACATCAATGTTCATTTTTATTTTTTTTTTTCCAGAACATTTTTTTTTTTTAATAAATTTTATTGTTATATTCCCCATACAATTGCAGCCCCCCCATTCTGACCCCAATCCCTCCCCTCCCACCCCGCCCCCCTAAAAGTGTCTCTGGTTCATAGTTTTTTGTTGATTTTGATTTTCACTTTCTTATAGTTATTCATTTTCCTGGTCCCTTATTTAAGTTTTCTAGATTCCTGCTATGAGTGAGACCATCCGGTATTTTTCTTTTTCTTTTTGGCTTATTTCGCTGAGCATGATCCCTTCCAGCGCCATCCATGCTGCTGCAAATTGCATGTGTTTATCTTTTTTGAATGCTGAGTAATATTCCATGGTATATATGTACCACATCTTCTTGATCCAGTCATCTATTTTTGGGCATTTGGGTTGTTTCCAAAGCTTAGCTATTGTAAACAGTGCTGCTATAAACATAGGGGTGCAGGTGTTCTTTGGAATTGATGTTTCTGTGTCCTTTGGGTAAATACCTAGGAGTGGAATTGCTGGATCATATGGAAGCTCTATGTTTAGTAGGTCCAGAAATCTCCATACAGCTTTCCACAGTGGTTGGACCAGTTTGCACTCCCACCAACAGTGCAGAAGAGTTCCTTTTTCTCCACACCCTCGCCAACATTTGTTGTTGCTAGTTTTTTTAATATGTGCCATTCTCACTGGTGTAAGATGGTATCTCATGGTAGTTTTGATTTGCATTTCCCTGATGACAAGTGATGTTGAACATTTTTTCATATGCCTGTTGGCCATTTGCATTTCCTCTTCAGAGAAGTTTCTTTTAAGCTCTTCTGCCCATTTTTTGACTGGATTATTTTCTTTGTTGTTGTTGAGTCTCATCAGCTCTTTGCAGATTTTTGTGATCAGTCCTTTATCATTAGTGTTGGGTGCAAAAATGTTCTCCCAGTTGGTGGGGTTTCTCTTTGTTTTTGTTATTGTCTCTTTTGCTGTGCAAAAGCTCTTTAATTTGATGTAGTCCCAGCTGTTTATCTTTGCCTTCACTATCACTGCTTTGGGTGATGTGTCTGTAAAGAAGTCTTTGATGTGCAAATCACGTAGTGTTTCGCCTATATTTCCTTCTATATATTTTATGGTTTCAGGTCTTATGTCTAGTTCTTTAATCCATTTTGAGTTGATTTTTGTGTATGGTGTGAGGTAGTGGTCAAGCTTCATTCTTTTGCATGTAGCGACCCAGTTTTCCCAGCACCATTTATTGAACAAACTTTCTTTGCTCCAATGCATATTCTTTGCTCCTTTGTCAAAGATTAGTTGACCATAAATCTGTGGGTTTATTTCTGGATTTTCTATTCGATTCCATTGGTCTGTATGTCTGTTCTTGTTCCAATACCATGCAGTTTTGATGATTATGGCTTTGTAGTATAGTTTGAAGTCTGGGAGTCTGATGCCTCCATTCCCTTCTTTTTTTTTTCAGGAGAGCTTTGGCTATTCGGGGTTTTTGGTGATTCCATATGAATTTCATCAATAATTGTTCTATTTCTTTGAAGAATGACATTGAAATTTTGATTGGAATAGCATTGAATCTGTATATTGCTTTTGGTAGGATGGCCATTTTAATAATGTTTATTCTTCCAATCCATGAGCAGGGGACGTCTCTCCATTTCTTTGTGTCTTCTTCTATTTCTTTTAACAGTGTTTTATAGTTTTCTTTGTATAGGTCCTTTACCTCTTTTGTTAGATTTATTCCCAAATATTTGATTTTTTTTGTTTCAATAACAAAAGGGATGGTCTTTTTGATTTCTTCTTCTTCAGATTTATTGTTTGTGTATAGGAAGGCTACTGACTTTTGCGTGTTGATTTTGTATCCTGCCACTTTACTGAACTGATTGATGAGTTGAATTAGCTTTTCTGTGGAGTTTTTGGGGTTCTCTATGTATAATATCATATCGTCTGCAAATAGTGATAGTTTGACTTCTTCTTTTCCTATTTGGATTCCTTGGATGTCTTTCTCTTGTCTTATTGCCCTGGCTAGGACTTCCAGTATTATATTGAAAAGCAATGGTGAGAGTGGACATCCTTGTCTTGTTCCAGATCTTAATGGAATTGCTTTCAGCTTTTCACCATTGAGAATGATACTGGCTGTTGGCTTGTCATAGATGGCCTTTATGATGTTGAGGTATGTTCCTTGTATCCCAAGAATTTCAAGGGCTTTTATCATGAATGGGTGTTGCACTTTGTCGAAAGCTTTCTCAGCATCTATTGATATTATCATATGGTTTTTATATTTCTTTTTGTTGATGTGTTGGATAACGTTGATTGATTTTCGGATGTTAAACCATCCTTGTGCCCCTGGAATGAATCCAACTTGGTCGTGGTGAATTATCTTATGGATACATTGTTGGATTCTGATAGCTAAAATTTTATTGAGGATTTTTGCATCAGTGTTCATTAGGGAGATTGGCCTGTAGTTTTCCTTTTTTGTGTTGTCCTTGTTCGGTTTTGGTATTAGTGTAATGTTGGCTTCATAAAACGTGTTTGGTATTGTCCCTTCCTTCTCAATTTTTTGGAAGAGTTTGTGAAGGATAGGCACTAATTCGTCTCTGAATGTTTGGTAGAATTCATTTGTAAATCCATCAGGTCCTGGGCTTTTGTTTTTGGGGAGGTTTTTTATTACCATTTCAATTTCGCTAATTGTAATTGGTCTGTTTAGGTGTTCTATTTCTTCTTTATCTAGCTTTGGGTGATTGTAGAGTTGTAGGAATTTGTCCATCTCCTCTAGATTGTTAAACTTGTTTCCATATAACTGTTCATAGTAGTTACTGATTATTCTTTTGATTTCTGCTGTGTCCGTTGTGATTTCTCCTCTTTCATTGATGATCCTGTTTATTTGTGCTTTCTCCCTTAAAAAAGTTTTTTTCAATAAAACTGATATTGTTGAAATTTGTCTCAAAGTAAAATTTGTATTTTACCCTCAGACTACCAAAGACAGCCCAGCAAAAATATTGGCATTTCGGGTGCCAAGGAAGCACTTGAAGTCCCTGGCCCCCACCACCTTCCAGGCAGTACAGGTAGAATTCCTGAGGCTCTCTGCAATGCCTGGCAGGGTCTTTTTTTTTTTTTAAGATTTATTTATTTATTTATACAAGCACTGGGTACAGTCAGAAGTGCGGGAGGGTGAGAGAAATCACCAGAGCCAGAGCAGGGAACAGAACAGGCAGACTGGCGAAGTACACTGCTGAGAGGAGCAGCAGGCGTGGGAGGGGAGCAGCAGGTGTGGCGGGAGAGGTCTGTGCACTATGTGGGACCCTTGCTGGCGGCTGGCCTGGGATCAAACGTGTGCTGCAGAGGCTGTGCACAGCTTCGCAGCTCAGCGCTCATCCACTGCGCCACAAGGAGAGACCCTAAACTATATTTTTAATTAAACTAAATTTGTGATTTTCTTTTCTACAAATAAAACCTTAAGCACAGGCTACTGATAATTGCTACCGGACATGGGAGGAAGAAATAAGACAAATTATTATTCTGGAATATATACTGGAGACTAAACACAATATACTCTAAGAATAGAAGTACAGGGCACTTCCTGATTCATTCAGTCTAAAAGAACTTCAACAGAATTAGTGTGCAATAGAGAGAGAGAAGAGAGAAAGGACACAGTTTCCCAATAAAACACCCAAAGTTACATCATAGAATCAATCCATGAAAGTAGCATTGCCATACAGTATAACTAGACAGACACTACAAGAAAGCAAAAGACTATAGAACAATACCTCTCAGCAGCACGGATGCCAAATGTTTAGCAAATCAAATTCAATAATATAAATATACAAAAAGATATAGATTACATATATGTATAACATAAAAATATAATACACCAAACGAAGTGGGATTTACCCCAGGAAAGTAAGTCTATTTTAACATTAAAAAAAAATTAATCAGGGTAACTCACCATATAAATTAACTAAAAAAGTAAAGCCATGCAATCATCTCACAGACACAGAAAGTATATTTGACAGAATACAGCATCCATACCTGAGAAAAATTCTTTGCAAAGTAGGATAAGAAAAGAAGTTTCTCAACCTAAGAAAGGACATCTACCCAAAAGTTACAGCAAAATCACACTTAATGGTGAAGAACTGCATGTTTACTTCTAAGATCAGATAGAAGTCAAGGATGGCTGTCTCATCACGCTTATGCAACTTCTAGAGATTCTATCCAGTGCAATCAGGCAAGAAAAAGAAAAAGCATTCAGGTTGGAAAGAAAAGGAAAAATCTGTTATTCACAGACATGAGCATCTCTGTAGAAATCCCAACAAAATCTACAAAAATCTCTTAAACAAATAAGTTCAGCAGGGTTGCAGAAGACAAGATCAATACTCAAACAAAGTTGTTCTTTTATAACAGTGTAATCTCCACAGGAAGGGGAGGTTTCATGCTCCCTGCCCCCACCTAAGGAAGGGTGGAGCGGAGCAGCCAGGGAAAGCTAAAAAGGACAGGGAAAGGACCTGGGGAGAGGAGACTTGGAGGTGGTACATGGGGCAGAGGGATCATGCTCAGCAAAATAAGCCAGAAAGAAAAAGAAAAATACTGGATGGTCTCACTCATAGCCGGGATTTAG